AAATCTCTTTTTTTCTTATTGTTCTTTGGTATGTCTAAATAATATTTTTAGAGGTGGAAAGGGTGAAAAGAAGTATAGATTTTGCACAGAAATAATCAAAGTGAGCTCAAGCACTAAAATAATGTTGACATTGGTGAGAAGTAAAAAATGTTTGCTCTTTGGGATCTGAAATATTCTAAAAGAACCTGCCTCAATTCTGACCCAGCTTCTGATATTGATTTAGACATGCCAGATACAAATATCAATAAACACAGTTAATACTGCCTCAGGGGGATGTCAGAGAGAGATCAGCTTCTAAAACAAAGCATTTATAACAGCAGTATTTCCCAGTGGAAGGTTCTTTTTTTTTTTTTTTCCTGACACACACCCATTTAAAGCACAGAATATATTAAAAAACACACAGACAAAAAAAAAAAAAAAAAAAAAAAAAAAAAAGGCCTATTATATGAAATCTGAATATTCTTCTGCACTATTTGGAATCACATACTGAAAATATGTCTAAGATCAATTTCAAATAATGCAGCCATCACCAAAATAATACCATACGTATACAGGTCATACTGTATAAATAAAAAAGCAATTTTCTCTTCTTTTCCTACTGCGAGTTATAGACAAAATTTTCAATACTTAGATAAGCCCCAGTAGAATTACCACTGGAGAAATCCATACCCCTCGATCATAGTTAAAGACTACTCTTTCCTAGCTCTTTCCCAATTCAGTTCTGAGTCCAGCAGAGGAACTGTTTCATGTTCTCACAGTTGCATTTGCAGAAAGCTGACTTCCTTGGCTGCAAAGGGCCCAGCCAGGGTGCCTGATGCAGGAACCCGCAGTCAGAGTTCAGAACTGAGGCACTGTGAATACTCTTTGTCTATACACACAGCAAAACACAAGATAACCTCATGGCACAGTTTGATATAATGACCCGTGGTAAAAACCCAGGGCAAGCAGATACAAAGGCATCTCTGTATTGCTTGGCTAGTTAAATTCCATCACACCACTCTCTCACTGCCACTCCTTAAAGGAACTGGAGGAGAAAATATGATTAAAAAGGATTCAATAGTTGAAAGAAAGAAAAGGGAGATTAATATAATTTGTTCCATATGGCTTAATGACTAGAAAGGTGAGAGGCTAAAAGCAAGCCAAAAACACCATCCCCCCATTCACCATTTTGTACCTCCTTCCGCCAAGCACTGCAAGGGACTGGGGGGCTGCAGTCAATCCGTGACACTCGGTCTCCCCTGCTCCTTCACAGTCACGCTCTGCCCCTGCTCCCCGTGGGGTCCCTTCCACAGGCAGCAGCTCCTCAAGCACTGCTCCCACACGGCTCCGTCCCACGGGCTCCATCCATCCATCCATCCCCCAGGAGCAAACTGCTCCAGCACGGGTCCCCCACGGCTGGGCGGCAGCTCCCCCCAGAGCCCCTGCTCCTGCGGGGGCTCCTCTCCACGGGGGGGCTGCAGCTGCGGCCCGGGGCCTGCTCCTGCCCTGCGGGGGCTCTCCGTGGGCCGCAGCCTCCTCCAGGCCACATCCACCTGCTCCACCGGGGGCTCCTCCACCCACGGGGGGGCTGCAGCGTGGAGATCTGCTCCGTGGGGGACCCATGGGCTGCAGGGGGACAGCCTGCTCCACCGGGGGCCTCTCCCTGCACAGCCCGCAGGGGAACTGCTGCTGCCTGCCTGCAGCACCTCCTGCCCTCCTGCTGCACTCCCCTGGGGGGCTGCAGGGCTGCTTCTCCTCTCTTTCTCCCTGGGAAGCAGCTTTTTTTTGTTATTTTTTTTCTCCTTTCTTAAATACGCTCTCACAGAGGAACAAGCGACATCGTTTCCTGGCTTGGCTCTGGCCAGCAGTGGAGCCGTTATCTAACGGGGGGCAGCTTCTAGATTCTTCTCACGGAAGCCACCCCTGCAGTCCCCCTGCTACCAAAACCTTGCCACGTAAACCCACCAGAGCAACTCTTTCGGTGACGAAATTTTTCATGATAACCAACTGAAACCTCCCCTGCTACAACTTGAGGTTTTTTGTTCTTGTCTTGTCACTTGGGGCCTGGGAGAAGAGAACGATCCCCACCTCTCTGGAGCCTCCTTTCAGCTTCCTGTAGAGCACAGGAAGGTCTCCCCTGAGCCTCCTTTTCTCCAGGCTGAACAACCCCAGCTCCCTCAGCCGCTCCTCACCAGACTTGTTCTCTAAACCCTTCACAAGCTTCAGAGCCCTTCTCCGGACACGCTCCAGCACCTCGAGGTCTTCGCTGAACACAGTGCTCGAGGTGCGGCCTCACCAGAGCCGAGCACAGAGGGACAACCGCTTCCCTAGTCCTGATGGCCACTCTAGGTCTGATACAAGCCAGCTGTAGAGATATTTATATGCATATATATTCAGCACTAGTACATGTTCCTTGGAAAACCGGTCAAACTCTCTTCAAACCCCGTACATTGATGGTTTCCTCTAACTGGCACTGACGCTTCAGCTGGATCCTCTAAATCCCATGTTACTGCTTCTGCTTCCTAAGCAGGTGACAGAAACTCCTAACCGGAGAGCAGAGGAGTTGTAGTTCTGTATCCAGGAAATATTTGGAAGTTTGGAAGATGCTTCCCTTGCTCAGCTGCCATCCCTATGTTCATCAATCACCCGATCTTTTGCCTTCCAGCAAAAGTCTTGATGCAGTTCTTAAGGCAAGTTCTTTCTGAAAATCCTCAGCCACCTCTGTGCACGCCAAACCTTTCATGGCACTGTGCAATGCGCGGATGGCAGCGATAAATCAGGTTGTGGAAGGAATGGCAACGCCTGGGGAGGGACTTTTCAGGTGGCTTCGCGCTGTTTCGCAGGTCCCTGAATTAGAGCTAATGAGGAAACAAGTGGTAGAAACAAAACCTTGAGGGAGGCGTGGATAAAGAATTGGCTACAGTGTTAAAGAGGACCTTTGGGCAGTGGGCAATTGCTGGCTGGCTCCAGGCGCGTGTCTGAGGGTCTCTGACCAACTGTATGATAGATTCGGGCGCGTGGACAGCACGTGGGGCTACGGGGAGAGGACATGTAGTAGTGAAAAAGGGCAATAAACGCCTCCTGTTCAAAAAGCCATCAGGAGTCTGTGTCTTGCGTCCCTTCAGCAACACAAAGATTTGGCTCCAGATCCAAAATGTCATGTATTTGGCAATTTTATTTATGGTAGCACTCCCCACCCCTCCCATCTGCTCTTTTCCCTTCCCTCCCCTCCCCTCCCCTATACTCCCTGTCCCGACACTCTGTTACACTCCCCTCCCCTCCCCTCCCCTCCCCTCGCCTCCCCTCCCCTCCCCTGCCCTCCCCTCCCCTCCCTTCCCCTCCCCTATACTACCCTACACACCCCTATACTACCCTACACACCCCTACACTCCCCTCCCCTATACTACTCTACACAACCCTATACTACCCTACACTCCCCTACACTCCCCTACACACCCCTACACTCCCCTCCCCTCCCCTCCACTATACTACCATACACTCCCCTACACTCCCCTCCTCTATACTACCCTACACACCCCTACACTCCCCTCCCCTATACTACCCTACACACCCCTACACTCCCCTACACTCCCCTCCCCTCCCCTATACTACCCTACACTCCCCTACACTCCCCTCCTCTATACTACCCTACACACACCTACACTCCCCTACACTCCCCTCCCCTCCCCTATACTACCCTACACTCCCCTCCCCTATACTACCCTACACACCCCTACACTCCCCTCCCCTCCCCTCCCCTATACTACCCTACACTCCCCTACACTCCCCTCCTCTATACTACCCTACACACCCCTACACTCCCCTCCCCTCCCCTATACTACCCTACACTCCCCTACACTCCCCTCCTCTATACTACCCTACACACCCCTACACTCCCCTCCCCTCCCCTATACTACCCTACACTCCCCTACACTCCCCTCCTCTATACTACCCTACACACACCTACACTCCCCTACACTCCCCTCCCCTCCCCTATACTACCCTACACTCCCCTCCCCTACACACCCCTACACACCCCTATAATCCCCTCCCCTATACTACCCTACACTCCCCTTCGCTACACTACCCTACATTACCCTATGCTCCCCTCCCCTATGCTCCCCTCCCCTATGCTCCCCTATGCTCCCCTCCCCTATCCTACCCTACACTCCCCTAAACTCCGCTGTCCTACACTACCCTATACTCTCCTACGCTCCCCTCCCCTCTACTATGCTACACTACACTACACTACACTACACTACACTACACTACACTACACTACACTACACTACACTACACTACACTACACTACCCTCCCCTTCCCTCCCCTACCCTCCCTTCCCTTTTTATTATTCCCTCCCTTCCCCTCCCCTACCCTCCCCTCCCCTACCCTCCCTTCCCTTTTTGTTATTCCCTCCCTTCCCCACCCCTCCCCTCCCCTCCCCTCCCTTCCCTTCTTTTTATTCCCTCCCCTTCCCTCCCCTCTTGTCTTCTTTCTTTCAGGTAAGTTCAGATCGCTTCAGCCGTTCTCGTAGCTCATATCCCTGGCTGATTCACTGGAACCCATCAGCAGCAACCAGAAGCGCTCCAGCTGCTTTGTCACTAGTTGAGCAACAGTCTCCAACTGGGAATCGCTGACTTCGTTGTGTGGCTCAGACAGGTGCCTTGCAGTTCCACCGTGGCCTGGACGTGTCCTCTTGCTGTGTCCCCACCTACATGGCAGTTCTGCTTAGAAGCAGCAGCAGGCTTTGGAAGTAGTCCCACTCCTTCCATTTTCAAAGGTTTAGCTTGGCTAGCCGGGTGGTGTCTGTCTATAGAAGACAACAAAGAGATTTGGGTTAGAAACAGCTAACTGAGTAGTTCCTTCCCACAAGGGCAAGGAATATTTACCCGTTCCTAATGGAGGCTGCAGTGTCAGAGATAACGACAGGTCCTTCCGAGAGCTTTGAAATATCCCTTGGGGATGCTGAGTCCAGAGCAAACCTGTCTAAAGTACACCGTGGAATCACTCGGAATGACTTCCTAGCAGAAGCATGCGTCCGATACGGCTTCAGCTGGTTGCAGTGTTCTTCTTCACCTAATACCTAAATTCAGATAAGAGGTCTCAATGCAGATGGAAAGATTGAGAAATAGAGAAATCACTGATGTGCTTTGAGAACTTCTAAGGACTGAGAACTAAAGAAATCCAATGTTGTAACATTAAGGATCGGTTAGAAAAGTAAACGTTAAAAACAAGTAAAGGAGAAGAACAAGTAAGCTTTCTTAAAGTATCTACTGTATTTAAAGGATCTTTAAACAAGTAAAGAAGTAATGAAATATATACGCAGAGAGATAGATAGAGAGATAGATATGCAGAAACCTAAGAAACTGCTGCGCAGGTTAGCTTCTTGCTCTCTTTTCTAAAAGTCCTAGTGAATACAGCATCTGTGTGCGTTACAAGCATTGCCCTCAGTCCAGCACAGGTACACACGAGAGGACAGCCTGCAGGTTGCGGAGGCAAAGCAACTGCTCTGGCTGGATGTGAAGAGCCAAGACAGAAGTTGCTGTCAGGGAAAAGATACACAGAGGGGATGAAAAAGACGGAGTGTGCTTCCGACCTTCACAACTTCTAAGCAAGTGGAGATGAGGTTGTGGAAGAACCAAATAAGCTGTTGATCTAGAAGCAGCCTGAAGATTGCCCTTAAGCAGGGCCTTGCATTCTTCATTTTTGTAGCATTGCTTGCCTTCAAGTGCACGATCATGATTTGATTAACTTTCTACCACTACAGAAATGCACCGGATTCTTTCACAAAACTTACGGGTGGTAATTGGAAATACTGGTCAGCATTCTCTGTTTCCTTCTTCCTCTCAATTCTCTTTTGGCTTGTGAAGCTTTTCAGATCAGAGGAGAAGATCCGCTGTAATACGGAGTTTGGGATCCTGCAAAGGAAATGAAGAATCGTACTGACAACTCTTGTCAACCTCACCTGCAACCATCACAGAAAAGAATAGCAAAAGAACGCCGCTTTATCATGGGAAGCATAAATTTGAGCATAGGTGTCCTCTAGCTGAAGCGAGGTGAAGCAGGTTCCAAACAAGGGGAAGGAGCACACCCAGAAGCATTTCCATAAGGCTGTTTTCAAACAAATGCTTTAAAGACTTAGATTTTCTTACAAGCGAAGAATGAAAAAATAAAAAGAAATAAAATTACCTGGACATCCAGTTTTCCTCTAGCTTGCTTTGCTTCTTTCAGAATCTGAGTCTGGAGTGACAGTCAGGGAGCAGCACTGTGCAGAAATGCCAAAGCCTCCCCAGCTTGTTGTACCTTCATCAACAAGGCCTTTGATACTGCCGCCTCCTCAGCAACATCAGCAATTTCCTAGGAAAGCTGGTGTCCACCAGGTCAAACAGGAACGGGAAACCCCTCTTGCCACAGCTTCACACTCACACCAGAGTCGGCAGGACAGGCCGATGGACAGAGAAGGGTCTGTAAGAGTGTTAGAAAACAGACTTGAAACAGATTTCCGCCAACCCAGGAAAAATTACTTGCTCATCCCTTCAAACTGAACTCTCAGTAGAAGGAGGTGATCCCAAGCTGCATTCCTGACATCTATGCTGCAAAGTCATCAAATGTGCCATGTTACTGTACCAGCCATGTTATGAACAGAAACAGGACTTTGAGGTTATGCTGTTTGAGTAGAATTAAGCTCAAAGAGTTAGTCCTTCGGTATGTTTTTGTCTGCAAGTGTTTTCACTGTCTCCCAGACAATGTCTCCAGCAAGCTAGCTGCTTGTTTCATTTGTTCTGTGCTGTTTTGTTTTCTCAGGAAGGATTCTTAGAGAAATGAGATTAAAGTGATCATCTTGTGTGTCCATCCATCCCTCCCTGCCCTTCGCTTGTCCAGAGCTTTTACCTTGTCCACCAGCTTGAATGAACTCGCTCCTAGGTGCAGTTGTGTCCAAGCCATTCTGTTGCTAGGCGTGTTGTGCAAACAGACACCGAAGTGGTGGGGAGAGGTCACACTGTCTGCAGTGTGACCTCAGCGCTTACCAAGCAGTAGGGAATACACAGAGAAGGGCGTTAGGAAAACTTCAAGCCCCACATACATTTTACGTGGAAACCATGTTTCCCAAGATAACACTGGACACAACTGCATAATCAAAATGGATTCATTTCTTGGTTCATCCAACTCCTAGGTTTTAGTTTTGAAAAGTTTCTGTCTTGGCTTAAAGCACTCTTCCAACCTCTGTTTCCAGTTACTATGATTTCCTGAAATAGCTAATCCCATTTTTGTCTTTGTACAATCTCCCAGTCTCTTTGTTTTCCTCTCCCCGAGAAACTTAGAACTGCTCTCTTCATACTTGACAACTAGATATGGAGCTGTGTCAGCCAGAAGGAAGTTTCCTTCACACTTTCCGCTTCTTACGGTACCTGGACTCTTACCTTTACTCTTACTCGCCCTTCCTACATTAGCACAAAGAAAGCTGCTTTGGAGATCTGATGTCTTGTTCTCCAGAAGCTACCCTGAATCACCCTTACGAGAGCTGTCCCACGCTGCGAGCATAAGTCTTGCAGTCTGGCCAGATATTTGCTTTCTAAGTCGATAATCAAATCTGTCAAGTTAAGAACATGGAATTAATGGAAAGGAAATCCTTTTCTTTTGATCCCAATTCCCTTTTTTTTTTTATTTCTTTTTTTTTTTTTCTTCCTTTTTTCTAGAAAGATTCCATTTTTCAGGTGAAAAATGGAATGAACAATGTTAAGGTCAGGCAGCTTGCCCACTGCAATTGCTACCCTGAAAGCAGATGGAGTGCATCTTCATACACCACAGCCTGAGACACTACTCGACAGGCCAGCCCATGTGATGAAGTCCATTGCTGTCCTGAATTTTAACATGACAGGGGGACTCTTAAGCCTCTTGTTTATGCTTTAGTACTTGCAGTCTATGGGAGGACCACAGCACACTCTTCTCTGTCTACCCTTATTTGTTGATCGTCTGTAGGAAGAAGAGAACGTGCAGAGGCCCTCACCCGTACATTGGGTCTGTTCTCACTCTGTGCAGCTCCATCATTGAGCAAAGTACCAAACTTGATCCTTCTGTAAGGGCTTTACACAAACTACAGAATACTAAAATGAAACATTCACAACAAAACCACACTGTTTTCCCCAGCCAAGCGTCAAAACACTTACAGAAGGGCATGGGCCCTCTCTGTGTACCTCGAGGTGAGATCCACAAATCCTCGCGTGGTTTCAACACACCCAGCACCCTTCTCTGTCCCTCCCAGCTAAACGTGCACAGAGGCAGCTGTTCCCAAAGTGCTGTGGTGACATAATTCCCTTCTGTTTCTGAAGTCATCACCGCAGGCGCCTCCCAGTGACGGCACAACACTCTCTGTTGCTAATGTGTCTGTCTCAGCAACAGCTAGAGAAGTACCACTATGCCCAAACTGACTTGAATTAGGCTAGTTCCAAAATTATTCTCTGCTCCCCTACATCTGTGGAAGGTGTGTGATCGATCTTTTCCTTGAGAAAGGATTACAGACAAAAAGAGCTTGATTCTGAGACGTTGCCCGTACTTGGAGAGCAGTTCACTTTTGATTTCCGTGTAAGAAAAAAGAAGGTGAAATCAACAATTCCCTTCCTCTGATTTGGGAATAGGAAAGAACCCCAACTCTCCGGGAAGCCTTAAAAAGGAAACTCTGCATTTCTTTGTTAAACACCTTGTTTAATTTCTTTAAAGAAATCTTTCCCAGGACTTTGCAACTGCGGTGGTTTGAAGCGGGTGGGCAGCCGAGTTCCACCACAGCCGCTCTCTCACTCCCCCTCCGCAGAGGGAAAGGGGGAGAAAATACGATGCAAAGGGCTCCAGGGCTGAGATAAGGACGGGGCGATCGCTCAACAAGTATCATGACGGGCAAAGCAGACTCAGCAGAGTGACCTTCAGGGTCCCTCCCTGCCCCTGCTCCCCGTGGGGTCCCTCCCACGGGATGCCGTCCTTCCCCAGCTGATCCCACACGGGCTGCCCACAGGCAGCAGCTCCTCAAGCACTGCTCCCACACGGCTCCGTCCCACGGGCTCCATCCATCCATCCATCCCCCAGGAGCAAACTGCTCCAGCACGGGTCCCCCACGGCTGGGCGGCAGCTCCCCCCAGACCCCCTGCTCCTGCGGGGGCTCCTCTCCACGGGGGGGCTGCAGCTGCGGCCCGGGGCCTGCTCCTGCGGGGGCTCTCCGTGGGCCGCAGCCTCCTCCAGGCCACATCCACCTGCTCCACCGGGGGCTCCTCCACCCACGGGGGGGCTGCAGCGTGGAGATCTGCTCCGTGGGGGACCCATGGGCTGCAGGGGGACAGCCTGCTCCACCGGGGGCCTCTCCCTGCACAGCCCGCAGGGGAACTGCTGCTGCCTGCTTGCTGCACCTCCTGCCCTCCTGCTGCACTCCCCTGGTGGGCTGCAGGGCTGCTTCTCGCTCCTCACTCTCCCAGGTGCTGTTGCACAGTATTTGTTTTCCCTTTTCTTAGGTCTTGTCTCCCAGATGCCCAACGGGATCTCTCCCTGTCTCAGCTCTGGCCAGCAGCAGGTCCCTTTGGGATCCAGCTGGAGCTGGCTCCGATCTTACATGGGGCAGCTGCTGGGCTCTGCTCACAGAGGCCACCACTGCAGCCCCATCTTCTACCTAAATCTTGCCAGGTAAGCCCAAGACAGGGTCAACTCCATCTGACTTCAGCTACAAAATAACCCTCTTCCCTACAAAATGCTATTTTTGCAGTCAATTGGTTGTTGCAATGTTGTGTGCTCTCCTCTCTTTCCACACTGTAAATGCAAACATTTTTAAAAAATAGAAGAAAAAAAACAACAACATCCCATGAAGACTGTCTCACTGACAAAGAAACACAAGTATTTACTGAAAATTTCAGCAGAAAAATTCAACCAAACTCAAATTCTTGTAAAAGTTTGACATCATACCTTCATTTCTAACAATAGTTGAAAATTTTGAGTTAATTTGCTCAACAGACATTTTTTCAATAATAAGTATTTATACCACAAAATCTGATTAAATGTTATTAAAAATGTGTTTCAAGAGAAATGTGACCGAAAAGAAGTATGCAAGAGTACATTGACCATGTGATATTTTATTAGATTTTCTCATCTGGCATACAATTGCTCTGCAGATGTTTTCCATGCAGCTGAGATTCCCTCCACAAACCTCACGTGAAATAATAACCAGACATATTCTCACTCTGTCAGTAATTTTAAAACTACGTTGGAGTTCTCAGCACAATTTTCTTCTAGGCTTAGCTATCCTGTGCCTTTTTTTTCTTTCTTTTTCCCCCCACAGTCCACCTTCAAAGGAACGCTTCTTGACTTAGTTCAGCTGTTTGGTTTGTTTATGAGTTCTGTTTTAGACTGTTAACAAAAGATTGTATCTCTTTTTAAAGGATCATGAAGCACTGATGTTGTCCTATGGGTAATGAAGTCCACTGATAGGCTCAGTGATGTCTTCGCTGATAGTCTACTGCCCCAAAATTTTCAGAACCATATGTCCTTGGGAAGATCCTAGCTAGAACCACAATCTTATGGACGACTGGTCTAACAAAACCAATAGCTTGACTGACAGCAGTAAATTTGTGAGCCAAATCTAGTGATCCTGACCAGAAAACCATTGTACAGTGATGTGTTAGTGATCCATATAGGAATTTTATCAAGCAGTCCAAGACCCATGCTGTGCAGGCTGTACTTCCCAAATTCCTTGGCTGCAAGATAACTCACCCTTCTCACTTTAGCAGAGGAGCCAGCAGACAGCTCCCACTCAGTACTGGCTATTACACTACCTATGTGGCCTTGCGTTTACTGAATAGTGCAGGTAGTTCTCATGATAGCGTCATTACTGTTTGACTGTAGACATGATAAATAGAGCTATTTCCATATAGGAAAATCTTATAATAGCTTGAATTACCAAAATGGGAGAATCTCTGCTGTCAAGGGGGCCTCCATGTTGAGCTGTGTGGAGGTCAGTGTCCTGTTCAATGCTACAATTCTTGGATTTCCAAAAGGGGCACAAGGTTATATATATTATTCGCTGTTTACAGTGTTAGCTATAATAAATATAACTTTAGATGAATCTTTACCTACTTTCTTACTGAGGTCATAACAGACAAGTATGTCCTGGTGCAAAACACCAAACAGTTTAAATGTCTGGAAGATCAATGTCTGAGTACAAGATGTCAAATTATCTTGATGGAACATCAAATAAATGGAGAAAAAGAGTAGGGAGTTTATCAACCTCTCTCTAAACAAAACTCATCACAGTCCAAGACTAGGAAAAAATAAAATAAAATCTTGAAGTGATTGACATAAAGGTTTACTCTGATTTCCCACTTTTATTTGTTGCTTTTCATTCCAAAACACTCTTCCAAAAATGTCCTCCTCCCAGGCATGTTCCAAAAGCTTTATGTTTCTCCAGTCCTGTGTCTGCTGAGAATTTATCTCTACAGATATGAAAAAAGGCAGTTGTTTAAGTAAATCAGCAGTGTGTTTTATCATGTCAGCATTATTACACCAAACTATTGAGGACTTTGATAAAATTACCATGCACACTAAACAGCTCTGAAGATTAACAAGGCCTAACAGTTTGGCTTGACTGTAAGAAGACAAGACAAGGATTTCCTGTCACAAATAAAATCTCTGCATCCAGAGACTTTCTCTTCCTTCTTTCCACATTTACCTTCTCCTGACCTAATTTTGAATAATTTCTAAGGAGGAGAAACAGTGAACAGGCAGTGGTTGTTGACTCTAAACCACTCAATTTATCCAGATGATGCTCGAACATATCAGTAAATATTAACTATATTAAATAATCAGAACAGATTCAGTGCAGTGTCAAATGAGATATTATTATTAACAAAAAAAAAATAGCTTAAGGCAACATGGAAGGTGATCTTTTATATCTTTTATTTCCAACTTTCCTTTTTTCCTTTTTTTTTTTTTTTTGCGGCGGGGAGAAGGCAGGGTGGGATGAGATGGAGTAGGGGTGGGGGTGAAATTTCACCAAATTCAAATTCACTAGATTTTTCAGCAACAGGTCTAGTAATGATAGCTTGGTAAGAAAATGGTTTTAACAGAATGTTACCATTAACACTAAATTATTCTGAAGTACCCAGGAAATTTCACTTTCTTACAGACAGTTTAATTACTTGAGAAACTCATTGCAATATGTCACTGTCATGCTCATTTACACAGCTCTTCTTTCTTCTTGTTGCTGGTATAGATTTGCAAACAGCTATTCTGCAGATTTCTGAGATAGGAAAGGAGAGGTCAAAACACTTCTCAATATAAAACAAACAAGCAAACAAACAAAAGAGCACAAAACCACAACCAGTGTTCTCATACATAAAATTCTTTTGAGTGTTCACTTGCATGATTACAACCAATAAATGGTCACTTCTCCCTAATGAGGGGCATAATAAGAAACAACCACAAGAAAGCAATGGAAAGCAGTCAAAGCATTGAACTGTATATTTGTGTTTGGTTGCTTAGTTTGATTTGGTTTTGGGGGTATGTGCATGTGTTTTTTTTTAAGCAGGTAAATGCAAGAAACCTTCCCTCTTCCACCAGAAAACATTATCAACTTTCTGAATAAATTCTGTTCTTTAATTCCAAATAAGATGTTTTCACGTTAACATCCTGCCAGTTTCTCAAGGGAAGCTTGTCTCAGGGGGAGGGGGGCAAAGGCCTTTTATTCACTGTCATAGTCCTAACTGTGCTTTGCGATCTTGGACACAGTTCAAATGCTCAGCCTGTGCAAAAGCAGTGACAGTGGAAAGTAAGTTGGAGTGTAACAAAGATCTGAGTACAAAAAAAGGAAAACTAAACAGCTTGGAAGTTTCATGTCACTTCATCAGTCCAAGCTGTGACACCCCAATGCCTGTCTATATTGTCTTCATTTAATCCTACCATTTTCTATGTTTCCTTTTATTTTTTAAGCTACAAGACCAAAACTATTTTTAAGCTTTATACTAGATGATTCTCCAGTTCTATTATACTCCTTGTTATTTGCAGTTTGGAGATGTGAGAGAAATTGCCTGTAAATGCCTATGGCACCCTCTTAAAACAAACTTGTCTAAAATGTGATTACATGCATAAAGACATTTTTCAGCAGTTACAGAAAGGAAGCAATGTGCAAGCAATATGCCCTCGTGTGCCTTGACAGATTCTTCAAAATGCAGGTTTCAAAAAATGGCTGCAAAGTCTTTGGCATGATGAAAAAGCTTAGAAAAGCAAATATTGAAGAAAGCTGTAGAGGAAAAACCTATGTACAGGAAACCTGGTAACAGCCAGCTAACAGCCACCATCTCAATATCATTCTAACTCCACCTTGTCATTTTGCCATAAAGTTCAGAGAGAGGCACCACCATGAATTTGTCCAGCTGAAGCTGCAGTGATCGATTGCAATTTCCTACAAACAGATAACACCTTACACTTAATCTAGTATAGAGAATCTAATTCTCTAGTATAGGTGCTGGAAACCTTTCAGTCAAACTTCTCCAAAAATATGTATAAGTGACAGTAGGACAGCTTTTCAAGCTCACAGTACAAAAGACAAAAAGCTTGGGGGTGGGGACAGTTAATATTCTAGTATTTCACATTATCCCATTTCATGAAACTATATTTATATTTTTATTCCACTGGTGACAGAAAAGTTTCAAAACCTTGACATGTCACTATAGTGCCATTTTTTCCAGGTATCTCTAGTATCCAGCCACACCAAATTGTACCAAACTGATGTTCAGTTCCAAGTGATATTCCTGTTGTTTCTGCTGGTATCTCTGCAACAGAATGTATCTGCAAACATCAAAAGGAAATGCTTTCTTATGGTGATGAAAAGAACTTAACATGGTAAAAACAAACATTATCAGTGTGATTATTGTTTGTGGTCCTTACACCTTCTCAGGCAGAGAACTTTCTCAGTCTATTTAATGACAGTTATCAGAAACTTTGAAATCATTAACAATAAAAAGTTCATGAAAAAATGAACATTAAGGAAAACTGTCGGTGCTGAATTGCCCATGTACAAAATTTTCATGACATTTAATATCATAGATAAGCAGAAACAAATATTATTAGGTATATCCAGCTTCAGCTGTTGTACAATACTTAAAAGTGAGATTTTTGTGCAGTTTGGCAAGAAAACATATAAGCAAAGAAACAGAGAAGAATAAATGCAAAACACTCTTCAGCTTTGACTTCAAATGTAACTGTGTTAAACCAAAGTAAATCCAGCAAGATATTTTTTCTCATACATTTTGTTATAGGAGAGCAAAACATAAACTTAATGGGTACATTCAATTATTCATGATAATTAAAAAGAGAATGAACTAGTGAGCTCACAACATAAATAGAATTGTCAAAGTGAAAAAAGAAATTAAGCACAAACTGGCAAAATGCAAGTAAGGCACATGCATCTGTCAGAAAAAGTGTTATAAGCAGAAGGCAGAAAGACCAAGCCAAATGGGGAATAAACTGCTAAGTCAGTCAGACCAGTCAGACCCTGGAGGTTTAATAGACAGTAACCTTAGAGAACTGCAAGCCAGTAAAAGTATCACTCAAAAAATATATCAACCAGGGCTTCATTAAAATTCAAGGGGGAGGAGGAGGAAGTGGGGAGAAGGGAGGACACAGAGGTAGAGAAGGAGAGTTAAATGGGGGCAGGAATTTCTAAGTAACACTCATATGGAATAATACATTTGTATTTGAAGTATGTTACTATTTCAAGCAATATACACACGTGAGGTCTTAACAGCATTTTATTATTAGCATCCTAATTTAGGGCTTCTTGAAGATGAGGAGTATGAGCCACAGAGCACACAATCAACATACCTAGTATGTAGATACTACATTTTCACACATGCATCTCCTAAAAGTTAAGGAGATGCTAAGAACTGATAAAAATTACTTAGAGTTATGAAAATGCATATACTTCCTTTACCGAGATGTTTTTCAACTAACTAATCCTTGTCTCCAACCCCGTAAACTGGATTAAGGTTGTACTTAAGCTTCAGCTAACATTTCTATGAGATTTGCCAGCCAAATATCCTTCAGGTGCTTTTATGGAATGAAAAAATACAATAAAGGACAGTGTTTCCTTGCTGCTGTTTTGATATTTACATGTTCAGTAAAACAGAGTACGTGGACACTGTGAATGTTTTAATTTATGTGAAGGAGTTTTTCATCAATGATTTTTATCACTGCAGATTTTCTATTCCCACCAGAGAAAATGCCTCACTCCACAGGGGAAAAAAAAAAAAAAAAAAAGAAAAAGAGGTGAACATAGCTATGGTAAAGTTATCCATGTAAGGTATACAAAACTGAAAACAGTTGGGAACTAAGAAAGGCAATAAGTTGTGAAACAGATAGGGAAGAATATGCAACACCTCACTTTGGGGTGAAATGAGTTGTATCACAGATCCAACCAAACGAGATCAGAAGAAATCATGAAAGACAATCGGGAAAGTGTTAGTTACAACAGCGTATCACAGAACTGTTTGGACATACCACATTGGACGCAGTTATACGGAACTGTATAACTATCCCACCCATACACTGATATAGCACAGCACTGAACTGTAAAAGCTCCTGGCTAGCCAGCATTTTTATGGCGGAGTGTTTATGCCTATACAACAGAATGGTTAACAGCAAGGGAATATAATGCCACTGTACCGAGCTGTTATAGATTTCAAACGGCAGGTGCTATCACAGTCTTCGAAATTGGCTGGGAAGAATGAAAGATTCATGTGAAGGTGAAGTCCGCAGAACTGCACAGTTTGACTACAAAAGAGAAACACAAGAGGTCAAGAAGCAGCTTGTCTGACAGGAGCAACTCCTAAAACATTCACACTGAACACCAGGAAGAAAGGCATTATTTTCATGTTTTACTGCAACAGCTGCAGAAGTATGTCATGGCTTGTGGTCTTTTTAAACACCAGGTAACCAAAACAAATAAAAATAAGGTTATCTTAACCAAGGCAAGCACCACACATAATTAACTGTAAGAAACCTTTCTTACATACAGGAATTTATAAATATTAATAAAACAAAATGAACAAACAAAAAGATTAAGCTGATTTGAAGAGGTGATACACTAACTCTAAATGTCTGAAGCCATTTTACACAAGTAGCCATGGGCATGAAGGGAAATTGCAGTTTCAGATGCTATTTCTTCTTCTGACAGAAGATGTATATGGGATCACTAACAGGAGTAAGGAAGTTAATAGCAGATGCTATTCTGATGGATGCATTTTGGTCAAGCTGCTGGGCTCAACACAGAGATAGCTGAAGTTTAGCAACCTGTGATCTGCAAGAGATTACACTAAATGATTCTTCTGCCCTCAAACGTATTGAAATTTCTTATTGCCTGTGTTGCACATACACCTTGCTGAAGTTCACTTTGCAGATGTAGAATTTGATTATTACAGATCGTAGTATCTTCCAAAAGAAAAGAAATCAGTAACAAACTCTATAGGACCTCTTACACATTCTCCTGCAAGTGAAGGAAATCTTTCTACAAGCACAAAACAGGATCTTATTTTATAAATTCTTAGGAACATTTAAATATTGATGGCAATAGCAAGAGTCATTCAACAAATTATTTTCCTATTTCAGAATCAGCATGAGCAAATTAAATTGATTATATCATCACAGAAAATAAATTTGGAAATGTAGAACTACATCTCTGACTCATAATATTTGCAGATATCAGATCAAAGAATAATCCTTGAGCTGTTTCGATCAGATATTTCTTTACATGTCATCAAGATTCACTCCAGTAGATGTGGAAAAATATGTAATTAGGGCTTTTAAAATTTACAAGTGATCACTCATGAAAGACATGGGAAAAAATCAATTTCCCCTTTTTCTCTAGGATTCCAGCCCCTCCTCCCCAGGCAACATTAACATAGCTCTAGTTAAAACATCATTTCAAAACCTGGTAGCTGACATCCACTAGAGGATTGTACTGGGAACCCTGCAGAAGTCTTCAAGCAGTAAGTGATCTTCAACAGGCCTTGTCTGCTCTACTTATCCTTATGCATAAGCCTTGAGAAACCCATATGTTAGCATGAGTAGCAGCTGAAAGGAGGTCTGCCAGAGTGCACTGTGCCAGCTTGTGCTGCGCACTGGTGGATGTTAAGGGATAACACGCCAATCTGTCCGAAGAAGATGCATGATTCTGTTTGTTGTTATTACAATGACAGGCACAATGGTATGCGAGGGAGGAGGAACTTCTCCATGAATGGGATTGGCCCAGCATGCTGTGGGAAAATCCACGCAGCATCTATCCAATGCTGCACAGAACTGGGATTCCCAGGATCTGTAGGGACATAAGATTTATTTGCTGCCTAGATGCCTCTTTTTAATCTATCTTATTAATACAGCTGTTTTATGATGCCATTTGTTGTCAGGTCTTTCTTACTGAGATGCAGTAAGAATGCTGCACCATCTCTCTCTCCGCTCACCCCCCACCCCCCATCACTCCCAGTGCAGAATAAAGATGCAGATGTTATTCACATACAGAAGTTCTACAAAAACAAACATCTTATCATTACTCGGCTTCTCAGGTGTCAGCACAGCAAGGGAGTACAACAGCAATGAACATTTTGCTTATCCATACAAACGAGGTTAAACTTAACTCCACACAGACCCTAGTATGTATATCTAACTGCAAGAACATAAGAAGATATTACCTTCTATTGTACATTAAATCCTTCTGCCAGAGACGACTGCTTTGTAACAGGAGTGATAGAAGTGCTGACTAAAGTGGGGACCATAACTTCTTCAAGAGGACTAGAGGACATTTACAGTTGCAATAATATCCCAAACACTGTAATATTTTTATTTTAGAGATCATACCTCAGAGCACTGAGAGATGGAGTTACAATGATCCCTTTTATACGCTTTAAACAATAATGTAAAAGAAATAGTGATATGCCACCCACATACAAGTTTGTCAAATTGCTCATTGTCACGGAATTGATTTTACACACCTCTCATGTAGCAGTAATTAAGGATTTGTTATATACTTTTACGGTGAATAGCAAGGTTAGATTGTATTGTATATTGAATTTAACAGCACTTAATCAGCATTTAATCATCAGCCAGTTTAACACAATAATTTCAACAGAATTTGTTACAATAGAAACAATGACAATTAAAGGCTAGAGAATAGTAAGGTTCACCCAAGACTTACTGCAGGGTCCTGGGGGGGTTCTAAACCTGTTGCATGCTTCCAAAATACTCCCTAGAGTGAATTACTCACCCTGCACACTCATCAGCATTTGTCCATGGACAAGCTTGTTCCTCAAGGAGTCAACCTTGAGATGCACATCCCCTCAGGGGTACCCTGAGAGGCATCCCCGCTCAGGGGGAGATCGAGGGTGCAGCCTGCTGTGGTTCCTGGAGATCTCAAGGGGCTCTTTGCTTCAGACTACTATTTATAGGACCGTAAGATGATTGTTAGTCAGTACTTTTCCATCCTGCCTATGGTTCAGATAAGGCAATTTTGGTATTTTCCACTAACGCTGCCTTCCAGAATGTACAGTTCTGGTACTTGCCAGATAGGGCTTGTCCACGCTGCAGCGTTCAAGATGTGGTCGGGGTGTGCCTGTTTGTACTCACCCATTATGCTTGTTGTCTATTGACAAGGCTGGTGTAACATTAGTTAATCTTGTACCAGAGCTGAGTTGGAGAAAAAGCTACTGCACCACAGACATCAAGGGTTACTGCCCACTGAGATCCATGGAGAGCTCCAATAAGCTTTTCTCCAGATGCTGTATTTATAAGATAAAGATACTGACTCATGGTCATACTCAGATTCCTTACCATGTTCTGGAACTGCTGTGCAAGGCATGGCCAAATTGAGGCATACTTTGGCTCATAAGCCCGAGCAAGACTTACATCAAGTGCAGGAGTAGAGTATACCCTCCACAGTCATCAAGTTCTCTAAGTAATGCTGCAGCTTTAGCTGTCCAGGAACATGGAGAACACCAATCGGTAGAAGTAGTTGTGCCAGAGAGACATATGACCACATTTTTTAAACAGCAGGAGAGCTTATGAATAACCCAAATTTCTTTAAATTTTAAAACTACAATAAAGCAATAAGAACAATGGCATACCAGTTTTTCTAGGTTTTGTATCTGTACATAACTTTAGCAGCAACCGTGCTGAAGTACATTTTTCCCAATGTCACTTGGAAAGAACCACTGGAAATAATAAACAGAACACATTACATATGCAAACAGCTGCCGATTACAGTTACCTATTAATCCTCTGTTTGATTTCAGGACTAAGATTCCCTTACAACTTCTAAATCTGTGACTGTCCACATAATTTCAGTAAGAATATTGCAGACTGTGTGCATGTACCACTCAGTAAAAATTAAAATAAAAACAAAAACAAATAATAATAAAAAAAATAAAATAATCAAAAGGGTATAAAATACAGGAAAGGTTTTTCAAAACATGAAACTCCATTTCTAAAGCTTTCTCTTTTTATAACAGCTGCAAGTTTTACCACCTAAGAACCACAGAAGAATATTTTGTAAAAAATTTTCCCTCATGATAGAGACATTTGCTAAATAGAAGCCTAAAGAAGCAGAAGATCGGTCTTTGAAATTAAAACTGCAAACCATGCATGAATACAAATAATAAGTACAGATATGCAAACAACTTCATCATCTTACAACAGAAAAGAGAGCCTAGATGCCTCCTTATTATTTAACACAAAGACAGCGAGTGGGTTAGGAATGGAGGGAAGAATCTACTGATTTAGTCCACCTACACATGACAGTAAGTAGGAATTACTTATATTAATATGACTGGCAAAACATTACCTGGTTGTTTTGGTTTAACCCAGCAAGCAGCTAAGCACCACACTGCTGTTTGCTCACTCCGCAGTGGGATGGGGGAGAGAATCCAGAAAGAAAAAAAAATAACAACAAAAAAAGTAAAACTTGTGGGTTGAGATAAAGACAATTCAATAAGACAGAAAAAGAAAGGAAAATAATGATAATAATTCTAATAAAGGAATATACACAGCAAGTGATGCACAGTGCAATTGCTCACCACTCACTCATTGATGCCCAGCCAGATGCCAAGCAGCAGCCTCCTCCCCCTCCCCAGGTAACCCCACAAGTTTTATTGTTCAGCACGAAGCCACGTGGTGTGGAATATCCCTTTGGCTAGTCTGGATCAGCTGTCCTGTCTGCCTTCCCTCCCAGATCCTGGTGCAACCCCAGACTCCTTACTGGCAGGGCAGCAGGAGAAACTGAAGTCCTTAACTCTGCGTATGCACTGCTCTGTAACAACTAAAACACTATCAACATTATTCTCATCTGAAATTCAAAACACAGCACCATACCAGCTACTAGGAAGAAAATTAACTCTATCCCAGACAAAACCAGGACACTGGTTCTCTTCAGACAGGAGCTGCTCATGAGTAATTGCAATTTTCAGCGCTGTGCTTTGAGATGAAAACTACAGTTCACGAGCAAAGGATGAGCAGCACAGACAGATACAAAAGGGGTAGAGCTGTGGATGGATCCCATCTGCTTTTCTTTTCTTTTCTTTTTTTTCCCATCCCACACATCAGCCAGAGACCCCATTATGTCAGATATTTTCATCTTTTTTTCTTAATTCTTTTAATTAATATTCTGAAGTACATTTAGAGCGAAGGCGTGCAGCAATATTAAACATAAGTCTAGATTTTTGGAAAGTTACTTTTTACAGCATTTTATTGTGTGTTTTTATAGGACTGTTCAGAAAACTGTCAGTTTCCTATTTCCCTGTTGACACATTGGCTTGTGTGATTTGTCACAAGGGTTGTCTGTGTCATATTATGTGACATAATACAAAGAAGCTGAGAAAATGAGATGTGACAAGCCAACTAATGCACTGAGCCAACAGGGAAATTTAAAAGCAGTGCATATCTTAGAACAGAGTTGATATCTCCCTTTTCCCTTCTCCATCCGTCCTGTCCCCCAAGCCCACACAGTTTCTCCTGCAACATGGTGAGGGTCAGTTCTTCATTACCTATGTTTAAGCAGCAAATTTTCCTTCCAGCATTGACTGTGACAAATACGTATTTTCTCATAAGCTAGAATACAGGCAACTAATTTTTATTTAGTGCTGTCTGGAGTCTGAAATCATGTGTATAAAGCATCTTCCAAGAGTAAAGAAGTATGCTATGAAGAAAAAAGCAATATTCAGAGAAGATATATGAATAAAATTCCAGTCTGCAAGCAATAATAAACAAGGTTAGCTAGAGAAAACTGCAGTAACCATGGGCAACATAAAAGTAAAGATGCATCCTTTACATAGGTAGTGTCTTTCAATAGCAGTAAATAATTTTATTATCAGGTTCATTTAGAATTGCAATACTACAGCAGTATCTGTTTGCCCCTCCCTTATCACCTGATTCCTGCTGGCTCTGGTTTGCAAAGAAAAACAATGCAACAAATTCCCCATTATCAGTTGTCAGCATTCCTGGAATTATAGAGAAACCTATTCTCCCAATACTGAACTCAGATATTAGTTTGTAGCAACAGTGTGAGACAATAAGTCCCTTTTTCACATAGCCTATTCTATGCTTTCATGACACTGGAATACTTCTAGGGTAGATATTCCAGATTTAGAAATATTATGCTAGAGTAAAAATATTCTTAGAGTAATTTCAATTAAATTTGAGATTTACAATTAATTGTGGGCAAAGCCTGAATTTTTGTTTAAAGCATTTGATCAAGCTACACAAAGACATTCTCAAAACATTTGGATGACCAATGGGACAATTTAGAGTTACTGTGCCTTAATAACCACAATATGAAGAATATTCTTTTCCATAATGGAAACACTATGGATTTATAAGAAATCATAAAACAGAATACAGGAATCTATGTACTCTCAGACTTCTATTTGATCAGTACCTTGTGTTTTTTTTTTTTGGTTGGTTGGTTGGTTTTGTTTGTTTTTGTTGCTTCATAATAGTGTCATCCTTTTCCTGTTTTAACTAGTGGTAAAACTGTGTATACTTAGGGAACATATGCAGAACATAACATTTTAATCACTTTTATTCTTCAGATTTAATGGATACAATCAAAAAAACATAGTTAAAAAAAAACTCAAATCCCAAAGCAATGTCTTGATTGAAGCAGTTTTAAACCATAGTGCAATAAAATCATACTTTAAAGTTTCTGTAAAAAGAATTAGGCAGTGCAGAATATCACTTAAAGTACAATATGTTTTAGGACTTTCCATTTAGATTCATTTTATTCACCTCTTTCTTTCTTATTGCAACCCTTATAAAGCTACGGTAAAGTAGAACCCATTAATACTTGTATAAACATTTCCAGATTTCCTCATAGAAACTTCTACAGAGGTGTAAAATAAACATTATTGTTTTGCTGATGTGTGGTCTGTGAGGTGGCTGACTTTCGTATCATCATTACAATCATACCTGAAACTTGGTACCAGTAGCCCTGTTCCCTCAGGGCTGTCTAACTCTGTGGGGCTGGGACGCCATATATACATCCTGTGTTCCCAAACAGAGCATAAGTAACTGGGGCTAGATATACATGCACAGCATGGAAACTAAAAATAATAATAATAATAATAATAAATGCTGGGACCCCTAAGTCTGGATAGGATAGGGTCACAGTTGGACCCCCAGCACAAGAAAGATGTGGACCTGAGAGAGTGAGTTCAGAGGGCTACGAAGTCAATCAAAGATCTGGAGCACCTCTCCAAGGAAAACAGTGCTGGGACTGTTCAGCCTTGAGAAGAGAAGGCTCTGGGGAGACCTCATTGCAGCCTTCCTGTACTTAAAGAAAGCTTTTAAAAAAGATGGACAGTGACTTTTTACACAGGCAGATAGTGATAGGACAAGGGGAAATAATTTTACAGTAAAAGGATAGATTTAGACTACACATCAGGAAGAAGTTCTTCACTGTAAGGGTACTGAGGCACTGGAGCAGGTTGCCCAGAGAAGCTGTGGATGCCCCATCCCTGGAGGTGTTCAAGCCAGGCTGGATGAGGCCCTGGGCACCCTGATCTAGTGGGAGTTGTCCCTGCCCACGGCAGGAGGGTTGGAACCTGATGATCTTTTAGGTCCCTTCCAACCCAAGCCACTCTATGGTTCTATGACTGTGATCTACTAAATGTCTGTAATCAGTTCTTGCTTTCTTATATTGCCTTACCTTGAGGAAAAAACCTGAAGTCTTAAATCATCCTATAAGAAACATAAATATTTCATCACAAAGAAGGTGGCTTGCATGATTCTTGACCTTGTAGCAATTAATTTTGTACACATTGACCCCTGTGGAACTGAAAAAGCAACATGAAAGCATTTTGCTTTCTGCCCTATGCAAAGTATCTCTAAGCTGGTCACAGGAATCAGGTCTATGTGCTGAAGACATAATTCAAGGTTACTGAAATCTGAATCTCTTCCATTGGCTTTGCATTAGCTAGATAATTCTGCAGTCAATTATGCCATGC